TTTCTCCACTGAAACTTTCATGCTCATTGTCTAATTTTATTGCATCAGCACAACAATTATATAATAGATTACTCCTCAAGGAACATACAATTAATAAGACATGACATGCATTTTTTAAAATCATATTTTCACCAGTGGTGATTTTGGTAAAAAATATAATTTGCATATGAATATTTTTATTCTCAAATTAACTGTTTTAGGTGTAGTCTGGAGCCCTGAAATTTTTTTATTTGAGTGGTTTGATATAAGAAAGTTTTGGACCCCTTTTTCATCTGTATTTAATGCTGAGCGCATATGATCAGACATTGAGACGGAGGTTAATACCAAATTTCCCCTTCTAGACGCCTGCTTTGGTTCACTCCTGTAACATTGCATTCCCAGAAGAGTTATTTGAATACTCCTTAAGTTGATTTGTTTTGTCAAATTTCTTTGTAGCGGACGGGAAATGTACGCTCCACCTTTTTTAAAGACTGCCTCTACGAGGTGTTTGATGACCTGGAGTGTAAGATGGAGAACGCTGGGAAGCATCTCCTTCGCTCCGTGCTGCAGTTGATGGAGAGCGGCGCTCTGGTCCTCACCACCAACTTTGACAATCTGCTAGAGATCTACGCTGCCCACCAAGGGACCAAGCTGGAGTCTCTGGATCTCACAGATGAGAAGAAGGTACCAGCTATGTTTTCTGTATAAATGAGGTGAATTAGCATTACAGTTCAGACTGCCTTATTGGACGCTAACCATTTGAATATTGAATGTCTTAACTTTTCATTTTGGATTCCATCCATCCATCCATATTTGAAATAACTGTTTTCTATTTGAATATATTTTAAAATGTGATTTATTCCTATGATGCAATGCTGAATTTTCAGCATTATTACTCCAGTCTTCTTCAGAAAGCATTCAATATCGATATAAAACACTTAAAAATTGTAACGTTTTTGTCGGCAGGTCATTGGGACCTGAAAGTCCATCAGCAATGTGACGTCATATATATAGCACAATTATTTAGTCTATGATTGAATTGCATTATGTCTCATAAGTCACTGATAAATAGCATCTGAAGAAGAGACCATGAGGACCCATCGTCAGATCATCAGTTGCTTTAAGCTTAAACTAAAAACAATGTGTGCTTTGAAATAAAGCTGTGAAATGCTGTTCCTCAGATGTTCAGTGCATTGGGTTCATCTCTGTTTGTGTTTGGCCATAAATTTCCTTCAGCACAAAGCAGTGAAAGCTTCAGCTATTAGCCATAAAATCAGCCTTATGGTCTCTGGCCAAGCGTCATGTAGTGCATTAGTGCATGTAAGCTCTACAGCAGCTCCCCTGAAGGGCCCTCGGAAACACAAGTGACTGCATGTTCAGTTCCCTGTGTCTTTATTCATCAGGCCGTGTGTGGTTTTCCATAGCGTGGCCTTTAGGCAGGGTGTTTATGCACCTTTTCCATCAGATGTCTCTTGATTAGAACCTGTAGTCATTAAAAGCAGCTGGACGCTCCTAGTGGGAGCCGGATTGGGAGCAGTGGAGTATGAAATGCCACTGCGTGCTTATGTGTGCAGGTTCTGGAGTGGGCTCAGGAGAAGAGAAGACTGAGCGTACTTCATATTCATGGTGTTTACACCAACCCCAGCGGCATTGTACTGCATCCTGCTGGCTACCAGAACGTTCTGAGGAACACAGAAGTCATGGTGAGTGAATGTTTTCTGCTCTCATGAGAAAATAAAGTCACACCACTGGAACGTTGATAATTCACTGGGGTGGAGGACACTGTGAACCAAAGCATTCTGGGCTGAAGAGATACTCCCTTTTGTGGCAGTTTTTATTGCTCACTGTCCAGTCCTTATAATAATTTACCCAAATACAAACTGTTATGACAGCACTATATGAAGTTTATATGATGCTGATAAAAGCAGCATAACAATTTATGATGTTATGATGGTCTATGACAGGGGTGTCAAACTCAATTCCTGGAGGGCCGGAGCCCTGCAGAGTTTATATTCAACCCTAACTAACCACACCTGATTCAACTTATCAAGTCCTTCAGGCTTTTTTGAAAACTACATGGTATGTGTGTTGGAGCAGGTTTGGAACAAAACTCTCCAGGAACTGAGTTTGACACCCCTTGTCTATGACATAATGCAGTTTTTTAGTCTAGATCAGTTAATTTATAAAAAAATGCATTAAAAATGCAATTCATATACATTGAATACACCTCTTCTATGACGAACATGTTTTAATGTCTGAATTCATATTCATTTTGATGTTTTCGGGGGCATAACGTCAAAAATGTCAGGGTGATACATAGGGATTAATTGAAATAAAACCAAAATTGCGATATGGCTCAGTGCGATTATCAAATTGGAATTTAATGAAGTAAATGTGCTGTGTTTTTCAAAGTGAAGTGTGGCCCTGTGCTTATTAAGACACCAAAAAATATTAGTAATGAAACTTTATTACTTTTCTTAAATGCTCCTTTTTAATTTTTTGTTATTGTTATGTTTTTATTTAGTAGTTGTAGTAGTATTAATAGTAATAAGTGTGATAATAATAATAAATTATCAAAAAATAATAAAATTTAAATTATTATATATGTATGTATTATTATTATTTTATATTATATATTATTTTATAGTCATACTGATATATAATCACAAAACTTTACAAATTGTAAAGCTGGATTTTTAAAAATTAGTGTTTTAAATCACAACTGTGATTTTTATCAGAAATTAAGACCCCCCCCCCCCCAACCAATAACAGTAAAACTATTAGGAT